CTGTAGCCACAGCTTCCCTGGGGCACACTGACAGAGGTGGGGCTGCCATACATCAGCGCCACCGGACCCTCTGACCACCATCATTATGTTGATCTCCTCTCGCGTGCACGAGCAGCTGGATACAAACAGGTGGAATTTACGAAGCTCATTTACGCACGTTTCCAGAAGATAGAAGAGTTTGTTGAATCTGACGTGACATGTTCGTACGAACCCTTTGTACGAACAAAAGTAAGAGAAATTTAGGATAAAAATACGAACATGTTCTTGCATGAGGCCCAATATGTGTAAATCTGATTGAGTTATAGCTATTTTGTGTTTGTTAAGTTTGCTTTGCTTTGCTGTGTAGGACATCTTGAACTGAACTGACTCCAAAAGTTCAACAGTTTTAGATGTTTGTTAAATTATTTCATTCTGAAAGTTTCATTATATTCGGCTAAGTCAGGGGTGTCAAACTCAGTTACACAAGAGGATCAAAATTCAAAACTTGGTCTAAGCCGAGGGCCAATCTCTGTTCATATTCACTTAAAAATGTTGTATAACTAATTATTGTTATAGAAATACAATTGACCTTTTCCAAATTATATTTTATTTAGCATTTAGAACATACATGACCAAACAAATAAAATAAAAATACAATTGAAAAGACTCATCATTAACATTAATATATCATGTCATACTCTCTTACAACTCTTTCCTTTATTATATCTTAGAGATACATTTTATCACAATCCAAAAAATTCAACAAGAAAAAACATAACTCACTAAAAATCCAATTAGTTGACTTTAAGATGAGATGAGATGAGATGAGATGAGATGAGATGAGATAAACCTTTATTGTCATTGTACAGAGCACAATGGAATTACAGTTCAGAAGACCCATTCACAAGAAGACAGAACATTACAAACACAAGAGAACAGGTGCCCCCGGTTCTTGCAGCCATAGACCCCAGCACAGAGATAGGATCATCATCATGAAAGAGCATCATGAGGAGGTGAAACCCTTGAAAGAAAAACCAAATACCACATAATGATAGATATGGGGGGTTGGGGGGACAATAACATCATATTATGTCACTAAATGTGACACACACAATGGTATTTGTTGAAAAAAACTCTGAAGAGCCAGAGCCCATTTTTTAGCCAGAGAAGTAAATGAGTTTAGGAGGGCATGTATCTGAAGCCACATCTGTAGAATGAGCCTGAAGAATCTAGTCCCCCAAAAAACCCACCCAGCCAAAGTTCAGAATAATGATGTTGATTATTCATTCTGTGCAGCCTTCATCTTGCCTCCAGGAACCAGATTACAGACAAGAGAGAGTGGGGGGTGGGGGGTGTGGAGG